GCAGTGGGAGCAGCATTTCAGATACAGATGGATCTGAGTACATGGATATAGAGGAACTTCCAGATAGGGGAGATGATGTTTGTTCTGACCACAGAACGGAGGAGGCTCCAGGAGCAGAAGAAACTACCCAGGGCGTGGAGCTTAGGAGGTCATCCAGGGTACCCAAACCAAATCCCAAATATCTTTCATCTCTTGACTACTTATTATTGACAGATAGCGGTGAGCCGGAAAGCTATGAAGAGGCAATGCAAGTGAGTGAATCTCAGCAGTGGGAACATACGATGCAGGAGTAGATGGATTCTCTACTCACTAATGAGACATGGTAGTTAGTCCAGCTACATGCACAGAAGAAGGCCTTACATAACAAATGGGTCTACCGGATCAAACAAGAGAGTGATGGAAGCAAGAGATTCAATGCCAGATTAGTAGTAAAGGGGTTTCAACAGCGGGAAGGAGTAGAGTACACGGAGATATTTTCCCCTGTTGTGAAACTTACAACCATCAGAGTGGTGTTGAGTTTGGTGGCTGTAGAAGACCTTTCTTGAGTAGTTGGATGTGAAGACTGCATTTCTTCATGGTGACCTGGATGAAGAAATCTTCATGAAGGAACCTATTGGCTTCATTGAAGAAGGAAAGGAAGAGATTGTGTGTAAGCTCAAGAAAAGCTTATATGGTTTGAAACAGACTCCGAGACAGTGATATAAAAAGTTTGATAACTTCATGCAGAACAATGGCTACAGAAGATGCAATTCGGATCATTGCTGCTATTTCAAAAGGTTCGAGTCCAGCTTCATTATCTTGTTATTATATGTTGATGACATGTTGGTAGCAGGACCGTGTTTAGAGGAGATAAACAGCTTGAAGAAGCAGCTAGCAAAGGAGTTTGCAATCAGATTTTAGGGATGCGAATCAGTAGGGATGAAGCTGAAGGGACATTTAGGTTGAGCCAAGCTGAATATATCGAGAAGGTACTTCAGAGGTTCAATATGCAGAATACTAAGGTTGTTAGCACACCCTTTAGAAGCCAGTTCAAATTATCTGAGGAGCAATCGCCGAAGACAGATGTAGATAGAGAGCATATGAGTAGGGTGTCATATTCTTTAGCTATTGGGAGCCTTATGTACGTGATGGTTTGCACGAGGTTGGACATCACTCATGCAGTGGGAGTTATGAGCAGATTTGCAAGCAATTCAGGGAAGCAGCATTGGGAGACTGTGAAATGGATAATGCGGTACTTGAGGGGGACAACGAACAAGCCACTATGTTTTAGGAGAAAGGAGTTGGTGCTGCAGGGATACGTGGATGCGGACTTCGCTGGTGATCATGATATGAGGCGAAGCACCACAGGGTATGTTTATACCTTAGCGTCGACAGCAGTGAGCTGGATCTCACATATGCAGAAGATTGTGACTTTATCTACAACCGAGGTTGAGTATGTCGCGGTGACTGAAGCAAGTAAGGAGATGATATGGTTGAACGGGTGCTTGGAAGAGTTGGATCTGAAGCAAGGGAGAGGAGTTCTTTATTGTGATAGCCAGAACGCTATACATCTTACCAAGAATCCAGTATATCATGCCAGAATGAATCACATCAACGTCAAATACCATTTTATACGCTCGCTAGTTGAAGACAAAAAGTTGTATTTAATGAAGATTTTGGGGAGTCAAAATCCGACAGACATGTTGACGAAGACAGTCACCATTGAGAAACTGGAGTTGTGCGCAACTTCAGTTGGTCTTCACGAGTAGAAGATGAAGGCGAAGCCACACTACGAGGATTGGCATGATCGCCGGGATATTGTTGATTGAAGAAAGAATTTTCCAGGGGAGAAGATACATGCGAAGAAGGGGAGAGTTCGGGTGAACTCACTACAGGCACTTTGGTCTCAAAGTGAGAGATTGTTAGTCTAAAGTGTAGACCCAAAGTCAAGACGAGAGCTGGAATCAAAACGACGAAGAAAACGACCTGACAGATCGACCGCGACGGTCGACCGCGACGGTCGACCGCGAACATGCACAAGGCTGAGAAGAGACTGGGTCTGATCACGATCGACCGCCGCGGCCGACCGCTCAACTCTCTGAAATCTGAGGAGCTTCTGTCGTCTGATCGCGGTCAACCGTTCAACTCTCTGGAATTTGCGCGGTCGACCGTCACGGTTGACCGCGACGTAGTCAAACAGTTTCCTAAACTGTTTTGGATTCTGTTTCTACCAGGACTCTATATATATCCTAAACGTTTTTAGGGTTTGTAAGAAACGAAAAAAGAGAGCTTTTTGACTGAAAAAGAGAGAGAATCTTAGAGAGATTAAACCCTAGTTTGAGAGCTTGTATTTCTTCTTCAATTAATAAAAGAATTGTGTGGTGTGGCTCCCGAGGACGTAGGCACGTTGCCGAACCTCGTTAAATCTGTGTGTTCGTCTCCTTTACTATTTTTGTAAGGTTAGATATTTATTTGTGGTATTTTTTCCTACTTTCCTACTTTCAACACAAGGTCCGGAAGGGTAAGGATCCGATTGATTGCTTCGGATTCCCCAACAATTTAATAACATCTCCAAGTCAAGAGCCGTGGTTTCAACCACAACATTTAAATTTGCATTCTATCGGTGAAACATCAACTAATATATTTAACAACACTTCGGGTTACCCACCGGTCGAAGCAATTATAGAAGATAAAGCAAATGATGATTCAAATCATATTGAAGAAGATGGTGTGCAAATTGATAGCATGCATGTGGCAGCTGGAATCGATGATGACGCCCGTTGGATGGAGAAATTTAATGTTAACAATGATTATGTGGAAGCTGAAGACCCGTTGGATGTAACGTCATTCGTATACACACGACAACAACAACAAAGTCGAGGATGACGTAGAAATGACAATGAAGCTAGACCTTCCCAACGTGTTGACGATGGAGCTGGACCGTCACAACCACAAACACAACCGGATCACGAACTCGTCGAAGGGCGGTATGGAGGATGACGAAGACAAAGGAGGAGGAGGAGAGTTCTAGGATGTATGTAAACTACAGGTTATATACATTACAAAACTATTTAGGGATGTGACATGGTTTTTGGATTTGTAGTCGAGACTATAGTGTGATTTTTTGGATTTCTAAGTGGGTTTGTGGTGTTATTATGTTGGATTTGTTAGTGGAAGTTTGTGGTGTGATTTGTTTGATTTGAAACGAGTATGTGGCGAAATTCATGATGTTTAGATTTGTAAATGAGTTTATGGTGAATATGTGGTGAAATTCATGATATTTAGATTTGTATATGACTTTGTATTTAAGTTTATACAGGGACTACATGAAATGCAGCCAAAAAGTGCACAAAAACGTGCACATGATATCAAGGTTTTAAATATCGGTTATCGGGGATTTATCGGACGGCCAAAATTCTTATCGGATAGCGAAAATCGGGGATATATCGGGGATAAGTAGTATTTATCGAAGCAATATACTGGATGGTGTATATATATAATATAACAACTAAAAAATATAATCTAACCATGCTTAATGAAATATAAACATACCAAAACAGAAAAGCAAAGTATGATAAAAGAATAGTTATAGAACTGATATTACTCAAAAGAGAAAGTGTGTGCATGAAGGAATTACAAGAGAAGGAAAGCTCACAGCATGTGTATATAGCCATGTTTCTGGACAAAAAAAACATGGTTGACAGAGGGTAGGCAAGCGACGAAGTTCAAGGTTGAAGTTCATGAAGGCGAGCGACGAAGAGACACAGAGAACATGAGATGGAGATAACGGAGGAAGCGCCCTACGAGAAAAGGAGCAGCCACCGGAGACGAAGTTAGGGTTTGAAGGTCAGATTCATAAAGTTTCGGGTTTTAAGTTTCATATTATTAACAAAACGGGTGGGGTCGGGTTTTAAAAACCTAACAACTCAACTCAAAATGACTGGCCGATAATCCCGATAATCCCGATAATTTAGCCTTACTTATCGGCCGATAAGTGCCGATAACGCCGATAACTCGCCGATAATCACTCCAAAACGATAACCGATTACAAAACCAACTTATCCTAGCGGAGAGCTCAAAAATCCGATAACTCGGCCGATAATATCGATTATCGGCCGATATTTAAAACAATGCATGATATGCACGGGACTACTTGTGCACTTCGTAGAAGCTCCACGGCTGCAAAACCGACCCTTGAAAGGGTCGGTTTTGCTAATATTTTTTCTTGGAGGTCGATTTTTCCCATTAAATTTCAAAAAGGTTGGTTTTAAAAAATTCTCCTTCTAAAAGTTGGCAGATTTAGAAGTTTATGGGGATAGAAGTTTGGGTTTATAGGGAAAAAACTCATCTGCTATTTATAATGTTGCGATATTAGTATGAAAAAGTCAAAAAAATAATATTTGGTTTAAAACTACACTAATTTTCTAGCCATTTAAAAAATATAACTAGTTTAAATAAAAAAATATTTTTTAACATATCCAAAATCCTAAAATATAATCTGTATTTTAAATAAACTCGGTGGAGTATTTAGGGTCTAAGAGTGACTTTAAAAATAGATAATACTAGAAATAAAGGATGATAAAACTTTGAATTTATAGGTAAAAACTCTATTTGGAAGCGAGCGTTTTAAAAATTAATAGGGACAAGACTTTGACTTTGTAGACAAGAATTGCATATACGTTGTATGATGCTTCCTTAGTTTGAAAGAAAATACACTGAATACATAACCACTTATAATAAAAGTAATTATTTAAGAATTTGACTTAAAAATACACTAAGTATATAACCACTTATTATAAAAATATAGCATGCTTTATCAAAACACAATAGTTTACACCATTCAAATACCTAAATACAAGTGTGTTCTGTCACGACCCCCAAATTCCAAACCTAAAAAGAATATTGGAGCCGGACTAAACATGTGAAAAATCCTCCAAAAATATGCATTCATTAAAAGACCATCAAAATAATCTCTTCATTGAACTAAAACCAACAATAACTATTCTCTATAATCCCAAAAATCAACATTAATCAAATTAACTTGATATGTATAAATATTCCTCAACTTGAAATAAAACTCGACCTAAAGGAAAGAAATCTCGTAATTACACGACTCTCAATTCATTAACTAAACATCAAGGCTTTATTTAACATTCACCTAGAAGATAATAACAATCCTGAAATTTTATTCCTTGCTCCGTTCTATGAATTTGACAAATCCTCAATTCCACCTAATCCCGAGTCTCTGAAAAGAATGTAAATAGTACAATGAGTTCACAACTCAATAAGTGGATAAATTCATACATTATATACTGGTTTTGTAAAACTAAAATATTTCGATAAGAGATAAACAAAAATATAAGAATGATAGAGAACCATCAATGAACTCTAGTACTTGATGCAAATATATAAGAAAATTTAGAAATCATGAAATGAAAATAAGCAGACTACGTCTCAACGCGGTCAACACTTATACTCCGGTTGACTCGTTAAACCCCACAATTATTAAGCCTGTGATTCCGAGACAGTGAGACCCAAATTTGGATTCTTAGCGCTAAAATAAAACCTCATAGAGGCACATTGAGCCCTGTTTTAATAGCTTGCTTATGTCCGACATATACCAGTATATTGACTTGAAATGCATATGCTTTAAGAAAATTAAATAAAGTTCGTAAAACTACATACGTTATACAAAAATGCCAAAGACCAACCAATAGTGAAATCAATCAACCACATATGCATCTCAATCTACTACTATATAAAAATACATAACAACTGACAAATAAAATAAGCATATGCTTATACTAAATATCCATGTGCGTCACATCCGAATCAACATTTAACAAGTGAGTAAATCACACAAAAGGATATAATCCATCCGAAATAAATTCGCATATAATTAATATAACTTTATATAAAAAATATGCGGTGCACTATGCATGAATTCACCACTTACCTTAATTCGAAAGACAAACCAAAATTTAACTCTCATGACGCTTCTTCAAAGCCACTTGAAACCCCTAAAGAATAGATATAATAACCATTAATACAACCATACTGAATAATATAACACATATTAAGCTCCATTCTATAAAACCATATTATATACTAATACTTTAGTACACTAGATGTTTCAAAGTTTTCCTCCTACAAAAATTAATTTTTTTTGCAATGACATAGAAATAGGTACACGTACATAGTCTAATTTATTATTATTATTTAAATATAAAGGAGATGATCAAAGGATGCACTAGGCTCAAGACTTGTTCATGGCCATGAGAACAAGGTCAGCTACCTATTGTCAACATCATATATAATAAGATCTAAATAACCTCATACAAAAGTTGGCTGCATAGCATTCATCCAAAAAGAGCAATAGCTTTTATATTTGTGTAAATAATCACCATCTATCCTCCTTCAATGCAGATCCAATTAATTTTTTTTTCTTTGTTGTGTGTGCGGCAGAAACAGGCGGAAGGAAGAAGAGAGAGAGAGAGAGATGGTTTTTTTTGAGCGGCGGAACATAGTCGGGAAGGAGGAGAAGAAATAAATGAGTTTGGTAGGGTTTTCACTATTTATAAGAGTCCTTTTTGCTAATAAAACCCTCTAATATTATAACATATCAAAATTAATACGAAGTAATAGTAAATTTGAAGCAGGAAGGTTAAAAAAATAAATGATCATAAAACCTTAGAATTGTAGGCAAATGACGCTTTATGGAAGTGGGGATTTTAAAAATAAATAAAGCAAAATTTTGGATTTATAGGTAAGAAACTCATATGCAGTATTGCAGTGCAACATATTGCGAGATTATTGCATAAAAAGCTAAGAAATAATAATGGTTCAAGAATTTGATTTAAAAATATATTTTTTCACATAATGTATACTGTATATACATGCATCGCGTGCACCGAAAATACTAGTTATTATTTTTATACCCTATACACCAAAATTTACTAGTCATAAGCATTATTCATCTTCCATTAATTTTAGTTACATAGACATCCGATTCTATGTCTGTATCCATGATTATTTTTTCCCAATATAGTTAGCACTGGTTAGCTTCAAGAAAGTTAGATTTTAATTACTCAAATAGTCTTGAGTTTGAATCTCATCATCGCCAACGTTAATTTTTATTTTGAACCATGACCTTTCAACTCATAACTTAACCCTCAATCTTGCTTTAGATCCCCTGGAGTTTAGTTTTCTACTAAACTATATGTGATTTAGATTGAGAATTCCATGAAAATTATACGTGATTCTTAATCCCGTGTAGTTCTAAGAACTTATTTATCAAATTAAAACCTAGTTTCAGTCAATGTGCAAACGTGGCTAAAACTAGATCAAATTTGATAAATAAGTTAAGACTAGGTCAAAAATAATAATTATTTGTTGAAAAACGTCTATTTTGAAAATTTACTCCTATTAAAGCCTCGCAACTGTCAACTCTCTTCATGTCTCCCGCCCTCTTGGCCGGGGAAAAAACCTTACAACCCTCAATCTCATTCATTACCAACCTAACATAGCACCCATAAAACCACAAATTTACAATTATACCACGCCGACAGATCAAAACTAAATGGCATTATCGTAATTATCTAAAACTTACGACCCCAATTGCAATCATTTATGAGTCATCTTCCAAATTTCCCTATTCGGTGGCCGTTAAAACATAACGCCGTTACGACGAGTGAGAAAAGAGAAGCAAAGATGAGAGTGAAAGCTGAGGAGAGAGAGAAGTTTATCTCGTCTTTCCTAAAATATCCAAAGCATCCACGCTCGCCTCCTGATGTTACTATAAATAACATGATCATTCCTCGAGTTAAGGAGAGAAGCGAGGAGTCGCAAAGAAAAAGGGGGAGAAAATGAGAGAACGAAAGAGATAACTAACATTGGCGATCTCTCGATTTCGATGCATTTTTTTTCATCTTTTTAGGATTTCGATCGATGCATTGATCTTCAGGCGATGATCGATTCGGTTCCGTTCAGTCATTGAACCGATCAGATCCGAGTGTTTTTTTAAAATAGGGAATTTCGATGAATTTGATAATTGCGATCTTGGATTTTCACAATGCTGCAATGATCGAAGGATTTCGCCGTTGGATTTTGCCGGCATTTAGCTCTGACCTAGAGTTTGTGGGTTTAAATGAAGTCACTTTTTGAGTATTGAGGTAGGAGGCGGATTACAGAATGGGGAGCGTGAATCATGAGGTCGATGCAAGTGAGGATATCTCTCTTTGTGCTTTAATTTTTTATTTTGATTTCATCGAGATGGTTATTTATCTTCAAACTTGTATTTTTCTCCCGTAATTTCTTACTCAGCCTGGAAAAGATGGCAAGTAGTGCAATGGCTGAACAATTTGTTCCCGGACTTTAACTTGCCTTTGTACGCATCGGAGGAGGAATTTAGAGACCAAATGTTTGATGGTGTAGTTTTGTGTGCCATTCTGAATAGGAAGAATTTGGGTTCAATCCAGGTGATTAAACGTGTTATATTTCATTGAAAATTTGAAGCAGTAGGATTTAGCTGGAGGTGTATCACTTTGGGTTTTTTTTATTGCAGAGTCAGAGAGGTGTTTTTATTTCTTCGGAGCAGAGAGTGTACAATCTAAAGAGGTTTCTTTCAGCTATGGATGAAATGGGGCTGCCCAGATTCAATGCATCAGATCTGGAGCAGGTATCTTGCAAGTTTTATTGACCTGAGCTCACCTAACAAGCTTTTTGATAATCCAGTGGTTAACACAGCCTGTTGAGCTTAATTGGGTATTTTTATTCCTGTCAGCCGAGAGCACTTCAAGTTTGCTTGTTTAAGGTGACTGTCATCTTTATATTCCAAAGTCACTAAACTACTTGGTTAAATGTGAACTAGAGGGAACCGAAATGAATATGCTGGCCTATAGAAGGAACACAATCGTTATAGCTGTAGAACTAGCCGTTGTTAATTCGAATTTACTCTGTTGATCTCTATGGGCTGGTAGAACCAATCATTTTTTATGCTAGTTGTTACAGTCAGATGTGGAAGCAATCATTTTATCGACTACTTGAACTTAGTCGACCTCTGTTTCTAGAATGTAGATCTATTGAGTCAGACAAAAATAAGCTAATCATCAGATCTGTTTTGCATCTCTTCTTGGATCTAATGATTTGGGACTTGAGATTATTATATGCATATGCCAAGACTACCCAAATGTGATTTATTGAAATTTAAAACATGAGGTAATTGGACAAATAGCGGAAGTAGCATGATACTGTGGTGAAAGGACAATTTTGGGCCTCATGCGACTCACCAAGTTTACGGTTCAACTGGACTTAACATTTATGGGCTAGCAACTGGCCTCATAGGACTCATCAAGGTGTTGTAACCATCATATTTACAGGATAGGGAAACTATCTGTTATAAGGACCACTTAAACCAAGTATGGTTAACTGCAACTACCTAACTAAATCTGATTGAAAGTCAGAGTTGCCAGTTTAATGGCTAATTGGAAATAGTCCGATTGTTGCATAGACGATCCACTTTGCATGCTTGACTTAAACCAAAGAATACGATAGATGCACATATAAATGCACACATTCAAACATATCAAGCTTAAGATTGGGGCACAGCTCGATCTCGTCTTTCTGAGAAATAGAGCTTGAAGTTATATTTGTCCTATTTTGTTTTTCACATTCAGCTAGCCAGCTCTTGGCTACCTTACATTAATTTGAAATTCATATTCCCCACCATTACTCTAATCTGAGACCTTGCATTGCAAGAGTACCTCAGTAAGCTCCCTCGCGGCTATGGTGCTTGACTTTGGCTCTCCAACCCAAATAAATAAGCTCAAGTAAGTTTTTTAGAATCCTGAGCCTTTCATGAACAACCTCAAAATTACAGCTCAATGGATAAATAAGTTCAATGACTGTGTAAACTGCCAAAAGACATGGCCTATTGCATCTTCAGTTTTAAATACATATACATACTAGACGAGTACTTAGCTTAACCCTGCACTCCTTCTCTTGGTTTTGTCACTTTCCCTATCGCCACTTCCTCTTTTAATTGCCTACTTACATTTCTGCAACTTCTACTGGCATTAGGGATCTATGTCTGGTGTTGTGGATTGTCTCTTATCTCTCAGGGATCGCATGAATTCTGGTATAAGGGAAGGTGGCATTTATAATGCCACTAAATGTGGAAGCCAACAAAGAAAGCAGTGGAATATTTCACAAGGGGGTAGGGTGGAACATATTGACACTTCACAAGGAAACCACAGACAACGTGAACCAAATTCTCCAGTCTCGGGAGACGAGAGGAAACAAAGCATTTTAGAACCAAAATTCCAGAATGTGTTACGAAATACTATCATGTTAGGTATGTTGGTAGCTCCCATTCTTCAAATATCTGAAATCATATTGTGTCAATATGCTGAAAGTCATAAATTAAACACTTGATTACATGATGATCATATCCAAAAGCTTTATTTCTACACTAGTAATTTCCCTATGAGTTTGTAGCATGCATTTGCATTACCAAAATTCCTTTGTCAGGGCAAGCTTGGTTGCAACCTCTGAGCTGGTACTGACACTTCTCTATCATAACAAACTTTTGAGAGAAAATTTGGAGTTTATATATTTCATCCCACCTGATAGGTAAGGATACTTGATTTTCATTGTTTTCCACACAACATGTTCTTCATCTTAAAACATCAATCTTCTCCATCACCTTATGTGATTTCTAGGATAATTATCCTATTAGATTGAGATATGATAATTCAAACCGAGACATGTTAGTATGTTACATGGCCACAAATTATAAAATATCTTGCTATTTAGTGTTCTATTTCCTTCCGCCCACATAAACCATGACAGTTTTTGATCCTTATGAATTTAGTTGCTACATATGAGTGAATCTTCAACGAGTATTTTTGCTGAAACAAACAACTTATGTTTTATTTCTTTTGCAGGATAATTCATCAATGCATATCATCATAATCATCATCTAGGTCTTTTCTTGTAAACACGGGAAATGCTGGATAGGGAAAGGCTTCATACTCGATTTGACGAATTATTTGTTGTCAATCTTACATTAACCCTCTAAATAGGTGCAAATCAATCAGGTTATGATAAAGTGATAAAGTGAAGAGTTGTCATAAATATTGAAAGAAAGTTGATGATACAAAATTGTACACTATTGGGCCAGTATTTGAAGCTCATGCAACCTAGGAGGAATCCTTCAAAACATTTCACATTATGCATCACCCCTACCCTCCACTCTGACACATAACAAAAAGAAAAAGATATGAAGCATGGCATATTCTCTCTTTTTTTTTCCCAAAGAGATGAGAGTGAGTTGTACTACTTTCTGTTGACTACATTTATTTCACAGAGCCATCTACTGCACTGTCGCATTCTGTGGGAAATAAGCTCCATGAGGTTTTCCAGTTAAAACAAGGACGGTATTCTGCTCTCCCTGCTGCCAAGATCTCAGAAATGATGAAATCAAATAGTTTAGACGTAAGCTCTTTAAATTGTTTACTAGAGACCATTCTATATTAGCATGCAAGCATAAGTCCTAT